ATAGTAGGGGCGAGGGGGGGGGGCAGGCCGGGCTGAGGCCGTGGCCGCCCCTGTGCATTGCACTCTGAACATAAACGCGTCCAGGCTCGGCCATTCCGTGGTGCTGCCTAGTGCTGGGTTTCGCTCGTTTGTTCCGTGTAATGCTGTTCCATCAGAAGCATGCCAGTATATGTGCCTGTGATTTTTACAGTTATTTTTGGCCGTTCAATTAAATTCACCATAACGGCAGTGTGTTTGCAGGGATCTCGACGGCACGTTTTGTTGACGTAAGGTGGACGGATTTGCGGCACGTTACGGGGCGGAAACGAAATGAAGTCGAAATCCGACAAGAAGCACTGGGTTTGTTCCTCTTTCAGTCACGCCTGTGGATAAAGGACTAAGGTGCATGGATGTGGAAATTATCAGGGGAATGAGTACAGCTCTGACACTTTTTTCCACTCCAATCCGCATATCGGGCTTGAGGCAGCTAGTTCCGGGGAGCAGGACAAGGGATTGTGTTATAAAAATTGAATTGCAAAGGTGTTCCGAACATCAGTGGCCAGCATCTGAACTATTTGTTCGGGGCTCGGGCAGTTTCGATGATGGGCAGCAGCAGCGAGATGTTTGAGATAATGTAGGCGAAGTGAGGAGGTGAAACTGAAACATCCTGGAACAAGATGGTGCAGAGGGCATGCTGCAGATAGACGGTGCTGACTTGGAAGAAGTTGACAGTTCCGTTTACTTTGACTGAAAATGATATTGTGTGAAATGTTCTCCAGTCGGCAGCAGCGACTGCACGTAACTGGAGCTTCCAGATTGCGCAAATTGCATAATATTTGCCAACTTATAATAATTTTACGAGTCCTCTAATTCTCATTTCCTACCTTCCTTTCTTATTTCATCCCTTGTTAATATACTTTCCGATTTCTCAAAGTAACAGGAACTGTTCGCGGTACGATTCGTTCATTTGGCAGCATATAAAACGCTTGTTTTTGATCATTGCTCGAATGAGAGAGCCTTATTAGCTTCACCGTGCATGCTTGCACTTGAAAGGTTCCGGGTGCCTCCGCTTCTCATTGTGTGTGAGTGGGAGGGGGGGG